GTACCTATAATAAGAAACTCGGTCTTAGCATCGTTCAGCCGAAGTTTGTCTTGGACCATCCAGGTTCTTATGTCCCTGATGCAAGCTTGTAGAGCGTCAACAGCATCCGTCTCAGTAGCAGAACCATCCAGCTTAAATGAGATATAGAGCTGTGTATCATCAGCGTATGCGTGAACGTTAGGGAGATGGGATTCAACAACATCGAAGGGCTTACTTGCATACAACGTGAAGAGCAAGGGACCAAGACATGATCCTTGAGGTACCCCTTGAGGCAGATCAAAGTCACTCGAATACCTCCCGTTAATCAGGATTCGCTGTTTCCTGTTTGATAAATATGAGTGAAACCATTTAAGAGCGGTACCTGTAATTCCATACGTCACGCACAGGCGATTCAACAACACTTGGTGGTCAATCGTGTCAAATGCTGCACTCAGGTCTAGCAATACCAAAAGAGTAACTCGTTGATTGTCCATTGCAGCTAGTATGTCATTCTGTATCTTCAATAGGGCCGTCTCTGTGCTATGACCAAGTCGATAGGCTGACTGGAGGATGGGATACAAACCCGACTGAGTAACGTGATCGGTTGTCTGATCATAAACTGCACTTTCAACCAATTTAGAGAGGTATTGCAGATTACTCACAGGTCTTAAATTGGATAAGGAAGTCCCTTGCTTGGTCTTCTTCAGTCTTGGATCCACAAGGGCCGTTTTCCAATCAGATGGAAAGTGTCCCAAGGAAAGTGAAGAATTCACGACATTAGTGATGATGGGGAGAAGCATATCGGACATGCTGACTACTAAATTGGTCGGCATAGGATCAAGTTGACAGCTTTTCTTCGATGATCTACTGACCAGCTTCCTTATATCTTCCACAGAATACGTATTGAAATGATCAAGTTTCCTATCGCCTGTAAACACTTTATCCTCAGCCACCGCCCCAGGATGAAGAGTACACGCATCAAGCTCTGCCCGAATCTTTGCAATCTTACGGTCGAAAAACCGCCCGATATCGTTGGCTAAGATTGAGTTGTCCGTGTATTCTGGAAAACACAACTCATTCCTAGGAAGTAACAATGATCGAGTGGCCCTGAATAGCTTTCCTTGGTTTTCACTATTGTCGTTCACAAAGTCTGAGTAGAAAGCACGCTTAGCCCGTGTACTTAAATAAGTAACATGGTTCTTGAGTTTCTTGAATGCCAACAAATCTTCCTGTGATCGTGTTCTTCTCCATCTCCGTTCTGCTTTCCGGCGTCGCCTTTTTGCCTCGGCTATCTCACTGGTATACCAGGGTACCTTGGGCCTAGCCCGCACTGTTTTGGTTTTTAAAGGTGCGTGACGATCAAGAACTTGAGAGAGTGTGGTCGTGTAATCCTCTACAAGTACATCCAAGTCCAGTGGGGTGATGGGATCGCTATTACCTCGATCACATAGCCCTGTAAGTACTACGTCGCTCGATAGGCTCTCAGCGTCCAAGGATTTAGTTTTCCTAAACTTTATTATCCTAGTCTGAAATGAAGGCTTACTTATGGCAACATGACAATGTACAGCTGCATGATCGGAGAAATAGCGACAGGCGCGTGGTGGACTCGCCAGAATATCCTCAATCTTTCTTGTTATAACAAGATCCAGGGTGTGACCACGTATGTGCGTTGGCTCTGTCACATGCTGCTCCAAACCGAGAGACTCAAGCAGATCTAAAAACTTAAGTGCATCAGTGTCATTAGGAACATCCACATGTATGTTGTAATCACCAACGACAATCAAAGGCTCTTTGGATAGAATAGTGGACTCCATCAGGTCAGAAAACTCCATCAGAAAAGTGTTAATGGGAACCCTGCGGTGGTCATCACAATTCTGTGGACGGTAGACGATCACAAGCTGTATCTTGCGGGAAGTCGACGTTTGGACCAACAGCTCGCAAAATTCAAGCGACTCTTGAATTCCATCTCGAGTCGTGCTAACACAAAGTGAATCCTTGTACAGTAGTCCAATGCCTCCACCTGTCCGTTCTTGTCGTGGAAAGTCAATAAACTTGTAACCGGGAGGACACAGTTCTATTGTTAGCGCATCATCATGGGGCTGGAGCCACGTCTCAGTAATCACAACCAAGTCATATCTATGTTCACAGACGTAATCTACAAAATCGGCTGTCTTATTGCGCACCGACTGGGCATTCATGTGACAAAATGACAAAAAGACCCCATTTACGTAGTTGGCAGACAAACAATGTACTTTAGTAAAGTTTGAGACATTCCTAGTTGTTGATTTAGACAATGAAGAACGTGATTGTGGTGCCCGTAAAGTTCCATTATTTTGATGGCGTGATTTCACAATTGTTGATATACCGCATCCCTCAGGACCAGGATTAAGTTTGAAGACCAGATCGCCAATTAGCACTTGATGGAATGAGGCACATGAATTTGCATAGTAGGCTATTGGACACCTGTGCCTACGTAGGCGTAACCGACATGAGAAATCAAGCATATTCAAAATTCCCAGGAACTCGGGTGGAACGTAGTAGCTGATCCATGGACGTCGGAAGAATGTAATACAAGCAGAGCCATTAAACAGATTGGTGAGAACAACACCATTAGAGAGATCACTGTTCCATGAAGAGTGAAACAATACTTCGACTCCAGCCAATAACGTGGCATTGTTCCTTATGCAAATAGGGCTCTCAGTCCAACAATTCACTGAAGACGAGAAACAACCAAATATCCTAATATTCCAGCCAGCGAAATGCATAAGCAACTCCAAACCCGGCCAGTAGAAAGTGTGAGGTCTTACACATATACCCTCGTGGTCATATTTCAGAGGGAAGGCAGCAGTAAGTATTAAAAAGACCACAAACACGTTGGTGGTTTTTGCGTGCCTGCACCTCATTTGCATGTTATTTTTACTCTAATTCCACCACCCATTGGGTGGTCTTGATGTATGACTAACTAAGTCGCCAAGCGCCATTTTCTATTTTCAACGACGTTTTTAATCTCTGTTTATTATTCAAACGTTGTTGACTTTTTTTTACGGTTTCTTATTGCTGTACTATACTCTGTTGGTAAGAAAATCTTCTTGAAGACAGTGATAGTTCATTTCAATGAGCTCAAATTGCGAGAGGAGAACCTCATAAAACAAAGCAATTAATTCTATGTTACACTACAGTGCACTATCATCGACCGTACTTTGTTTGAGGTTTGACCACGGTTTTGCTCTTATATATAGGTCGTGTGCTTGCGCCTCTGAGTTTATTTAGATGGCAGCAGAATACCATAAAAGGAAAATAGTCGACCTGTAGGATCACTAGATTAAAACGTACAAAAGCCAAGAAAACCTTCAAAGACTGAGTTCAGGAGAGGTTATGACATTGACCTCAAAGAAGACGATGACTACAAACATTAGACAAAGTTATGTATGTCATGTGCAAGACATTTGTATCGCATTAGAGCGTCAGCTTCAAGAAGAGACCCTCTTTCTGCTCAGAATAAAAATTCATTCCGTTGGAGGCCCCACACAGAAGAAAGCTCATATGTTTGCCAAAAAGAGGTGGGAAGACCAAGTGTAAGTAAGAAGAGAACACTATTTGAATTGGCTTGTGAAAGTGACCCTGAGAGCAGAGATGAGGACGAAGAAAAAGCGACTAAGAAAACTTATTGTGATATTTTTCGTACCGTAACAGAGAATTTGCATCTTTTAGATGAAGAACTAGCAAAAGTATTATGTTGCAAAATTTGCTTTTATTTTGGTCTGATTTTCATTGATGATTTCCTAATGACATGATACCATCTGCAAAAAGCCGGCAATCAACATTTTAAAAGAAATGGCGACATTAATTTTCATTCTAAGAGGATCTCGGTTGGAAAAGTCAACACTTGTAGGCTGCAAAACAAAGACGAAAGTGCACTCGTTTAATCCAGACACTCACGAGAAGGACACGACTTGTAAAAACTATTGGAAATTTGTGTTAAAATGTGGATAGCATAGCGCGTCCGACTAGCAACTCCCGCACGCCCTAGGTCCGAGTTTAAGTAATAATTGATTTATGCCATGTTGGTACTCGTGTTAGGGTTAGGGTAAGGGTTAGAGTTAGATAATTAAATTTATGACTTGTTAGCACACGAGGGTGAAAATTGATACCATTGGTCATGTCTGTTTTTAAGGAGAGGGGACGGTTTGAGTTATATATGTAGCGGTAGTGTAAATGTCATCCATATTGGGGTACCTATTTGAGTGATGCGCATGCACAGTCATCTGATTAAAAATGTGCGCAATGTTTTAGAGCCAGTCCCTACGTGGTATGGGTGTCACGAAATGTCCTATTGTTGGTACCTATGTGGTGTGAGATGTCACGAAATGTTGCACGTGACGTGATCTGCACAAACTTGCCCACCAAGTTTAAATCCCAAGAGAGATGTTGGCTAAGCTTGTCTAGGACTTGCCCAAGACTTGTCTTGTACTGTTGAAGGCTGTCCAAATCTCTAGGGGTTAGAATTTATTATTTAAAGTGAAGTCGTTGTAAGTAGAAGTAGTCATCAACATGCCTGTGTTTCAATATCCCTAAGATTTTACGTATACATGCAAAACTTGTAAATCGTGTATCAAATGTAAAGAAACTCTTGAAGAAGCGGAATGGAATGTCAAGATTAGGAACATAAGAAAAGCGTATGTAGAGAAACGTGTGGAAGAGATTACAAAAAGATTAGGAAATTTAAGTCTAAAAGATTCAGCCCCAACTTGCCCAATCTCCCAAGAGGGACCTGTCAATCAAGATCACATATTTTCCTTATAAAAGAGAGTCGTTGTAGTGTAGTATGGTATCCCTGTGTATTATGTGTACGTATGTCACGTGACTAGCACATGGAGAGAGATCCGCGATCGATTCGCTCGTAATTAACCGCTTACATGCGGATTTAATTAGTATCAAATTAACGCATACAAGCGGTCAAAGTAGGGCCTATTTACCTATCGTGAACCTGTGACGTATGGGATTAAATATTAGCGCCCTGCTCAGCACGCTTCGCTGACCCCATTGCTTGGTCTTTATATCCCTGCACAACGTGGATCATTAGGTTATTGCGCGTCTGACCTTTTTACTTTACAATGGAAAGGCAGTCCCGATTAGTTTATTCTGAAGAACAAAAGGAAGTGCTGACCACGTTTTTCAACGAGGGAATGACTTCCACCAAGAAAGCGATGTGCGACAAAATTCGTGCATGTGCCACAAGAGTCGGCATTTCGGAAGACCAAGTGAAGGTAGTTTAAGCTCTCACGGCCCTGATTAACATTCATTTTATCCCAGGCACCAGGATAATTAATTTCCTGTACTAAATTTCATGTATGTATGTTGTTAAGAGTTTCAGGCCATTTGAAGTTAGTGTAATTTAATTTTTCTGATCTTTTGACCTATTCTGTTACAAACCACGTTGATTTAATTGCGATCTGAGGACATCTTTCGAGCATTTTTCTAATTTTATTACACACAGGCTTTATATGAAGTTACAGTGTAAGGTTTTCGCCGGCCAGTTTATTCCTAATTCTGCGTTGTCCATAGCTATAGCCTTTCACAAATGATGTGAAAGCCGTTTGATGTCGGAAGAAATTAAATGAAGCATGTGTTGTACTTTCTCTCCATCTAAATAGAAATAACATGGAACGACGAGAAACCACAAAAACGATCTTAAACCACCTAAAAGCATTTTAAACTACCTGAAACCACCTAAAAACAGACAAACCATCTTAAACCACGTAAAACCATCTAAAACTACCTACGATCGACAAAGAGAGTTCTCCGGTTACCGCATTGATAGTTTGCTCCTCTGGAGACCTCTGTAATCAATTTCAATTTTTGGGACCCCTTCACACGTTTCGTACCGCTTTCTTGTACTGAATGAAAGTTCTCTTACTTCACATGAAAATGTAATTAACTGGGTGCCATTGTTAGACATTTGTTGATACATTTGTGCAATTTTGTCCTCTTTGACTCAAGTTGTCAATTGAAAAATGAGATCGACTGTAATTTAGTTTTCCATAAGGAAATTATAGGAACAATGATGGCCTTTGTAACTCCTATTTGTCGAGCACAATGATAGTCTGAATCATTCATCTACAGCTGGCCTCTTAAACCAGCCTACTATCTCCATCTCGAGCTGAGATAATATTTCTTTGATTTTTGGTGGTTTTAGATGGTTGCACTGAGGTAGTTTTTGGTGGTTGTACTGAGGTGGTTTTAGATGGTTGTACTGAGGTAGTTTTAGGTGGTTGTACTGAGGTGGTTTTTAGATGGTTGTACTAAGGTAGTTTTAGGTAGTTGTACTGAGGTGGTTTTTAGATGGTTGCAATTAGGTAGTTTTAGTTGGTTGTGCAGAGGTGGTTTTAGATGGTTGCACTGAGGTAGTTTTAGATGGTTTAAGATGGTTTGCTTGTAGATGGTTTAAGATGGTTTAGGGCCTGGTTACATAAAGGTGGGGGACCCTTGGTAGTTGAGGTAACCTGCCTACCTGTGGTTGAGAAATAGCCTGTGTTAATGTACAATCTTACAACCTCAGGAACTCTAGCAACCCCAGCAAGATACATTGACCCACCTTGGGATTTTTACAAGGCAAATTGCCATCCCTGTAGGGAGACATTCTCCTAAGCAGGTCACCCTGCCTATCATGTAAACATGATCAAGATAAAGTAAGAGATTATATGGATAGGCAGGTTACCTCACCTAGGTGGAGTCCCCCAACCTTCATGTAAACAGGCCCCTAGGATAGTTTTAAGATGGTTTCAGTTGCTTGTACATGGCTTTAGATGGTTTTAGGTGGTTGTAGATGGTCTGAATCAGTTGTAGATCAGGTTTTAGTTGGTTGTGGATGGTTTGAGTTAGTTGCAGATGGTTTGAGGTGGTTGTAGATGGTTTGAGTTGGTTGTAGATGGCTTGAGTTGGTTGTAGATGGATACAGATGCTTCCAGATGGTTTCAAATGGTTACAGATCATTCTAGATGTTTTAAGGTTATAAATGGTTCCAGATAGTTTAAGATGGTTCTGAATGGTTTTAGTAGATTCAAGATGGTTGCCAATTTTTTTTACATGGGTCAAATGATTTAAGATGGGTTTATATGGTTTCAAATGGTTTAAGATTACTTTGGATCCTTTTAGTTTGTTTTCAGGTGTACATATTGGTTTTAGTTTGTGTTAAGGGGGTTTTTGGTCAGGCCATGCTGTAGTATTTCCCTTTCTTTGCACCTTATGTGTTACCTACAGAAGTTTTGTCTTATATATTAATACAGTAAAACCCAATTGAACTAAGTGTTTTGAATAAGGTACTACATACGAGGATGTTAATGCAGAAGGTCATATTCACAGTTGACTTCTGATAACTTTCAAATGTTATTCGAGCCAGCAACTAGCAAATGAAACAAAAGTCATTGGGGTGCTTTAGATTTACATGTTTTTTATTCATTTGCTATCGCTTTTTTTCCCCTCTCTCTCTCCCTCCCTCTCCTCTCTCTGTGTCTCTCTATCTTTCAATTTGTTTTTATTTGTTATTTTGCATCTTTTTCAGTATTTTAAGATAGACAAAATTGATGTGGTATTTGTACCACACAATATAGATACAAAAAGAAATACTTTTAAAGAGATCTTGAAGAAGCTCAGAACTTTAATTTTATGGGACTGCATGCACAGACCTCTCCTCCCAGACTTTGCAAATTAGAGCATATAATAACAGTTTCCTTTTTTCAATAGCCTTTTTAGCTACTGTACAATGTCATCTAACTGTTTTAAGTCATATTAATGTGATAAAGTAACTGGAAAATATATTTTTCCAATTGAATAAAGAGAGAAAGTTTCTAAAGAACCTGTGGTGCTGCATTTGTGGGGAAATATAGCAAGAAAAATTATGTTTTATTTACTGAGTTGATAATATGAATTTACTATTATAAAGTGTTTCAAAGTTGACTTTTTGAGTGTCAGCCCTAAAGTAGCTGTGACTGCATGTGAGTTGTCAGTGACAGTTAGTTCAAAGTTTTCTTGTTTGTCAAACTGCTAAACCAGTTAGAATTTTACTTTTCTTGGTTTTTTCTTTTAGTGTGAAACATTACTTTTTTTTCTGGTCAGCACTGGATAAACAACCACAATGCGAAGTGTAGTAGTGGTTCCAGAGTGCTTGATGGACACAAGAGGACAGAAAAGAAACTAGTGAGGAAACAAAGTGGCTTTAATGCTTTCACAAGGGAGTTTCTCCACAAAGGTAGTCATTCTTGATCTAGCTAAATTTGTGCTTTACATCTTACCTTTTAAGTTGAAAAATGCATCATGTCCTTTTATTCCACAGAACAAACTGGTGGAAGTGCAGAGGTCTTTCGCACCATCGGAGAAAAGTGGAGGAACTTGTCTGACTCAGATAGAGATGCCTACAAAAAGGTGGCAACAGATTTAGGGTCAGCTGTGTCACTACCCTCAGCTGATAAACAAGCCAAGAAGATAATTGGCAACATCATGAAACAGGTCAGCTAGTAATAATCATAGTCATTATCATCATCATTATTACAAACTTACAATGATATTTATCACATTTTGTGATGTGAACTTTGTGGTTTATAAATGACCAAGTTCAACTCACCAAGCTGTATAAAGACTGGATTGACAAGTTCTTGAAATGATATACCCAATACATTTACTGACCTTATGATTTTGTTTAATTTGTAAACTGGTCTTAAATTGTGCTATAATAGCAAACAAGCATTTCGTATTGAATTTTTCTGTTCGACATTGATTTTAATCGATCAGCATTAATTTATCAGTTTTCTTATTGTTACATTTATATTACTGGTAGATTGACTGTTGTCAAATAAAATTATGATATTTATCTGTGTGGATTGTAATTTAAGATATGCCAAAAATTTTCCCCTTTCTTATAATTTTACAGTTGGTCACCAGGTGTCTCAGCAAGCTCTTAATAAACAATGAAAGTTATTCTTAAACTTACTCATAATTACCTGTTTTAAATATCTTACTTTTTAGGTTTTTTCTTTTCCTTGATTTACACAACTTTCTTAGTATGCAAGCTCAGTAATTTTCATGTAATTAAATGTTTGTCACCATGCACTCCCATCATGGGATACAACTTTAATCCAGCACTAAACAAACTGACATTGCTTAAGTAATGAGTATATATGTTATCACACTTATTTGGTTCTTCTAATTGTTACCAATCCTTATCCATGTTTTACACAGGTTGCAGAACTGGAAACACTTGGTGGTCATGCACTGATGTTATGTGCTTATGATGGTGTTTGTTACCAAGGTTCAGCTGGGATTGGTGACAGCCTTTTAAAAACAAACATCATGGAAACATTTGCAAGTAGATTACACTGTGAGTACTGACTGTAGATATGCATTAATTAGCACTTTACTCTTGATATACACTTTCAGAAGCTCATTCTAATTTTACTTGTAATGTTGAAATCTTTCTGCAAATTTTTGCGCTTGAGAATTTGTGAATTGGATTTTTCCATACATGAGTTGATGAAAAAAAGAAAAACAATTAGTAAAACCAATTACCTGTAAATTCCAATTTGCATTTCATTCCCTCACTCAAAACATAAACAGAACCTCAAAAAAAGGTTATTGAGAGCAGTAGTCCCGGTACTCAATTTCTGTTACTCTAAGTGTACATCTATGTTCTTAAATATCAATATAATCTCAATATATTAAAACAATAAATGAATCCCAATGAAATTCACTACATTGATGCTTAGATCAACAACTTATTACACCAAGCATCTCGTTTCTTAAGAACTTAGAAAAGAAAGCATAATATTTCCAGTGAAAATAGGTCCTTACTTTATAGGTAATTCCCTGGTGGAAAAGCAAGACGTGTCAGTAAAACATCTACAAGAAGTGTTCAACTTCAAATACAGTATGCGTTTTTATAGCATATATTTGCCTTTATCCATGCACGTGCGGATTAAGGTCTTCGAAGATCTAGCTGATGTTCCTACAAATTATTGAAAAATATATTTGTTTTCTCTTTCCACTGAAATGGCCGCATTTAGTTTCAGTTGACCCATGATTGAAAACTACATCTCCATAAACTACTATTTGAAGCATTTAAGGGGTCAATAGCTGTTTTACACTCAGCTTCTGCCTTTTCTTGTGATTTGTTGCAATACGAAAAAAAGTCAGTCTTCTTTCCCAATATAAATTTTATTTCTGCTTTTAATGTATTGATGTGGTTATTCCCTTTATCTATGGCTATGATTTCTGCATAAGTGTCATATTCAACGCAACAAGGAGTGACTTTTAGCCTCGTTTTTTTTTTCCAGTCAATCTCTGTCTTTGTCTTTTGTAGGTGAACTTGTCGGAAACAGAGGAAGTAAAATGCCTTACGCTAAGATACAGCAATTGGGAATTTTATTTAATAACCTTCCCTTGGATTTAAAGAAAGAGATTGGTGTTATTCCGCGTAAACCGTCTCTTTACGGAAGCGGCCAGCGCCGAAAGCTGTGGCTCGCCCGTCATGACTGGAGCTTTGGTATTTCTTTGCCTGTACCCTCCATGGATAGTTCCACGACCCCTTCAGCCACCACTCACACATCAACTTCTCCTACGCCCACTCCTTCCCTTGTTAATTCGTCGACCTCCTGTTAATTAGTACTCCCGGTTTAAGTTAAAAACCACTGCTGTTCACAACCGTAACAATACCAACTCACAACAAACTAACTACTAATTGAACTTACAAAACACCTCAGTCGAAAAGATGAAATTTACACAACATACCATACATTCTTCCTTCACTTTGACACAACCTCATCACACACAAGTTCTTTAAGTGTTTATCAGTCATCTGCAACCAGAGCCACAGTGAGTGTCGACCACTGTACTTCCCGCGCATCCATTGTTCTTGGTACTCCTTCCTAATCTCAACGCAGCACTTCCTCTGCTGCTGGTTTTATCGTTTCCAAAGGTGAGCAAGTTTTTTATCTCTGATTTTGTAAAGTTCAGTGTTAAGCGTGTTTACCACTCAAAGTGACGGGCTTATTACGTGTGAAAAGGAATTAGGAATTTCCATGAAACAAAGTGATCATGCTGGAATGAAAGACTAGTGTACTATTTGGTCTCCTAAGTATTTAACACCAACGTTATTTACTTTGTAACCCTTTTTACGCAGATACTAATTTGGAATGCTGTTACCAAGCACGGCCTGAGAAACACGTGTGGTTTTTGTTCTTCCACCACGAACACACATTCATGGGCGCACAGTGAATCCGGGAAACTTTGTGGTTGAATGGTGCATTCTATGACGGAGAATCGATTTTTGTCGGTGGTTTTATGAATGGCCTTTAGAGCCGGCAACCTATTTTCACTCGACTTGCTGAAGTTAACTTCTTCAGGCTGACCTCCCTGTGAAGGCGCCATAACCTTTTGGAACTGTGCACAATAAATTGTAACGTGGTTTTGGCAAATAAATCTCTTAATTTTTATTTTTTGTTTGTGTGTTTGTTTGCTTTTTCTATGTTTATTTGGTTAATCTCTTGGCAATAAAAGGAAAAAGCACTGTCCATCGAGCATGGCATATCCGATGTTTATCGCATAGTTTCCTAACAAGTTTGATGATAAGTTTTCACGCACTCTAAACTGAACTTGCCGGAAACGTACAAACGGGGGGAATTAACTCGGCAGAGACCACTCGGCTAATGAGAACGGAACTCGTCACGATTTCCTGGCACACAGCGATCTACTTCGAGTGAACTTGTACGGACGTCAAGAAAGAGATAGCGTTTGGTTCCACAGTATACTTTTATTCGTAGAGCGCTCTAACATACACCATGCTAGAGTAGAAGCTAAAGTAGTAATCATAAAAGCTGCACAAGGTACTTGCTTAAGAACTAACTGGTGAGAGGTGCTATTGAACCAATTTTTCTCGAGAGACCATTAACACTTGTATTTACCTAACAAAAACCAGTAATAAATAACAAGTGCCGACGTGCAGGAGCATAATGAAAGCGAGTAACAAGCAAATCTATTGGTCAATTGTCTTGTCAATGCTAGTACTTTACATATCAATCAATGACTCTAGTATCGTAGTCCATCATCCCCTTATGAACTGGTCTGAAAAGTTTCCATTTTTAGGCTTTCTATCGTATCATGGAACAACACTAAAAGTGTCATTTTTTCTTGAAAAGAATAAGGGGGAAACAGTCCCTTCTATTCATTTTCTTTGTATTGTGGTTACTTTGGTGTTATGAAACCAATTAAGACACGAAACGAAGATCGTATGGCCCGGATTTCTTTGGTCTTTAGCGGTTTCATTGGGTAAAACCCCGAATACTGTGGGTGTGTGTGTGTGTGTGTGTGTGTTAGCCTTCCCAGGAGGATACACGTAGTATACTTGATATACAGCGTAATACATCAAGAACTGATCCCTGTTATCACTTGTTTCCTATTGGCATGCACCACATTTGTTCTGAGCCGAGTGTTTACGAAGATTTCACCACCTTTCAGAGAATTAAAGACAATTTGCAGCAGACGTGAATTTAGCCAAACCAGAGTTCTCGAGCAATGAAAACTCGGTAACATTGTTATGGTTTTCATGGGATAACGACATTGGGTCCCACTTGGACTTATTTTGGTGATATTGGCGGATTTCCACATCTGTTTTATGATTTTCATGGGAGATTGCGGTTGGTCCGCAGTCAGACCCATTTTGGCAATATTGGTTAGTTTCCAAATTTTTCCTATGATTTCCATGGGAAATCGACTTTTAATCGCACTTGTACTCATTTTGGCGACTCGCCCAGTTTCCAGAACTGTCCTATGATTTTCAAGGGCTATTGTTGTTGGTCCTCACTAAGACCCATTTTAGTGATATTGGCGAGTTTCCACATCTGTCCTAAGATTTTGATGAGATGTTCACCTTGAGTCGCACTTGGACCCATTTTGGCGATATTGGCCAGTTTACATAACTTTCTCGTCATTTTTATGGGATATTGGCATTAATCCACACTTGGACTCTCTTTGGCGATATTGGCGAATTTCCTCACCTTCATATGATTTTCATGAGATATCGCTGCCGATCCTCGCTGAGACCTATTTTAGCGATATTGGCGAGTTTACACATCTGTTCTATGGTTTTGATGAGATATTGAGTCGCACTTGAACCCATTTTGGCAATATGAACCGGTTTCCACAACTTGGCTATGAGTTTCACAGAATATCGATATTGACCTGCACTTATACCCATTTCGGCGATATTAGCGAATTTTGCCATCTTTTCTCTGATTTTCATCGAATATTGACGTTCATCCGCACTTAGATCCATTTTGACGTCATTGGCGAATTTTCAACTTTTGTCTTATGATTTTAATGAGAGATTGCCGTTGGTCCGCACTTAGACCCATTTTGGAAAAATTTGGTCAGTTTCCAGATTTTTCTTATGATTTCAATGATATCGATATCAATGATATCGACATTGACTCGCACTTGGACTCATCTTGGCGATACTACCAGTTTCCAGAACTCTGTTATGATTTTCATGGGATATTGCTGTTGATCAGCACTAAGACCCATTGGCGATATTGGCGAGTTTCCGCATCTGTCTTGTGATTTTCATGGGAGATTGCTGTTGGTCCGCACATACACTCATTTTGGAAATATTAGTCAGTTTCCAAATTTTTCCTATGATTTCCATGGGATATCGACATTGAATCGCACTTGGACTCATTTTGGCGATACTAGTCATTTTCCATAACTCTTCTATGATTTTCATGGGATATTGCTGTTGATCCGCGCCTAGACCCATTTTAGTGATATTGGCCAGTTTCCACATCTGTCTGATATTTTCATGGGACATTGACATTAAGTCGCAGTTGGACTCATGTTGGCGATATTGGCCAGTTTACATAACTTTCTTCACATTTTTATGGGATATTGGCATTAACCCACACTTGGACTCATTTTAGCGAAATTGGCAAATTTTCTCACCTTCATATTATTTTCTTGTCGACACGCATTAATTTGGAACCATTTTAGCGATATTACGTTCAGTTTTCTAAATTTTTCCCATGATTTCCACGGGAAATCGACATTGACTCGCTCTTGGACTCATTTTAGCGATATTGGCCAGCTTCCAGAACTCTCATATGATTTTCTTGGGATATTGCTGTTGATCTGCACTTAAACCCATTTTGGCAATATTGGCGAGTTTCCACATCTGTCTTATGATTTTCATGAGATATTGACATTGAGTGGCACCCGGCTCTATTTTGGCGATATTTGCCATTTTCCGAAACTTACCTATGATTTTCAAAGAATATCGACATTGACCTGCAGTTATACCAATTTTCGCGATATTTGGTCAGTTTGAAAATTTTCCATGGCATATCGACATTGACTCGCATTTGGATCCATTTTAACGAAATATTGGCAAATCTCTGCTACTTTACCATAATATTCATGAGATATTTGAAAACATCGATTTTGGCGATATTGGCTAAGTGCTGCGACTTTCCTGTGTCTTCTGTGGGAAATTGCCATTGACTGCACTTGGATCCATTTAGGCGAAATTAGCCAGTTTCCACGACTTTCTTACGATTCTCACGGGAAGTTGCCATTGATTTGCACCTTAACCCATTTTGGCGATTTCAGCCAATCTCTTTGACTTTCCAATGATTTTCATGGGATCTAAGCATTGACCCACAATTGGACCCATTTTTGTGATTTTGGTCAATCCCTGCGACTTTCTTATGATTTTCATGAGATGTCAACGTTGACCCGCACTTGCACCCATCTTGGCGATATTTGTTAGTTTCTACAACTTGCTTATAACGATTTTGACTCACACCTGGACCCATTTAGGCGAAAGTAGCCAGTTTCCACGACTTTCTTTCGATTCTCATGGGAAGTTGACATTGATTCGCACCCTAACTCATTTTGGTGATTTCAGCCAATCACTTCGACTTTCCAATGATTTTCATGGGATCTTAGCATTGACCCGCAATTGGACCCATTTTTGTGATTTTGGTCAATCGCTGCGACTTTCTTATCATTTTCGTGAGATGTCAACATTGACCCGCACTTGCACCCATTTTGGCGATATTTGCCAGTTTCCACATCTTGCTTATAACGATTTTGACTCCCACTTGGACCAATTTAGGCGAAAGCAGCCAGTTTCCGCGACTTTCTTACGATTCTCATGGGAAGTTGACACTGGTTTGCACCCTAACTCATTTTGGTGATTTCAGCCAATCTCTTCGACTTTCCAATGATTTTCATGGGATCTAAGCATTGACCCACAATTGGACCCATTTTGGAGATTTTGGTCAATCCCTGCGACTTTCCTATCATTTTCCTGAGATGTCAACATTGACCCGCACTTGCACCCATTTTGGCGATATTTGCCAGTTTCCACATCTTGCTTATAACGATTTTGACTCCCACTTGGACCAATTTAGGCGAAAGCAGCCAGTTTCCGCGACTTTCTTACGATTCTCATGGGAAGTTGACACTGGTTCGCACCCTAACTCATTTTGGTGATTTCAGCCAATCTCTTCGACTTTCCAATGATTTTCATGGGATCTAAGCATTGACCCACAATTGGACCCATTTTTGAGATTTTGGTCAATCCCTGCGACTTTCCTATCATTTTCCTGAGATGTCAACATTGACCCGCACTTGCACCCATTTTGGCGATATTTGCCAGTTTCCACAACTTGCTTATAACGATTTTGACTCCCACTTGGACCAATTTAAGCGAAAGTAGCCAGTTTCCGCGACTTTCTTACGATTCTCATGGGAAGTTGACACTGATTCGCACCCTAACTCATTTTGGTGATTTCAGCCAATCTCTTCGACTTTCTAATGATTTTCATGGGATCTTAGCATTGACCCTCAATTGGACCCATTTTTGTGATTTTGGTCAATCCCTGCGACTTTCTTATCTTTTTCACGAGATGTCAACATTGACCCGCACTTGCACCCATTTTGGCGATATTTGCCAGTTTCCACAACTTGCTTATAACGATTTTGACTCCCACTTGGACCCATTTTAGCGATATTGCCCAGTTTCTACAAGTTTCCCACGATCTTTGTGGGATATCGACACTGACTTGCAATTGGACCCATTTTGGCCATAAAGGCCAGTTTCCACAACTTTCTTATGGTATTTATGGGACACTTGGACCCATTTTGCCGACATTGGCCGATGCCTCGACTTCCTCGTCGCTCTTATGGGATATTGCTCTTGACCCACACTCACACTCTCACTCGTTTTAGCAAAATTGCGAACCTTAGATGTTCTTGACTCATGTAATAATGCACTAAATAATTTTAATAAAGGTCGCAATTGCCATGCGTTAAAATACTTGTCCCGCGAACAAAGACACTTAGGCCAAAATGCTGAAACTTTTTCAATTTAATCAGGCTTCAAACGTCACAACAAAATGACCAGGTAAGGATACGTCAAGGAGCCAAAGTCGATAAAACAAGATTGAATTAATTCGTAGAGGACAGCTGTTATTTGTCGTATAAAGTGACTGACTAGTTGACAGTGAGCTTAATTTTTTTAGCTGATTGGTAACACTTGTTCGTAGATTTACATTCTTGAGTGAAAGAGGAAAAGGAACAGGCAGTTGAAACGACTCACAAGTTATAATCAAGATATTTCTGTGTTTAAATCTGAACTATCTGAATCAGATTCACTGTCACTTCCGTATTCAGCATTGAGAACGGAACGCAGGTCCTCAAAGACTTCACTTTGGCCAAGCTGTTGAACCACGTCAGCTTCATCAGTGTTGTAATCGTCCTCCATCTGAACCTCCTCATCGGCATCATCACAATCCACTTCGGGGAAAATTCCAAGGTCAAACTGAGCTTCACATTCCTCATGGCTATCATCATCATTAGAAAAGAGACCGTGGAGATGACCTGTGAATACGGAAAGCTCATCCATTTTAGTGCGGGCAATGGAGAGTAATGCGCGAGCTCGCTCCGTATCTTTCTGTGCCATCAGTTCCTTTGACCAAGTGTCCAATACCTTCAACTTTCCCTCGAAATGACTGAACATCCGAGCCATTTCTTCTTTGGTGTTGGCTATTTCCTCTAAGCATCTTTTGCGTGTGTGAAACAAATCAATGAGTTGCCTCTTTAAACAATAGGGAACAGCAGACTGCGGTTGGATGTCATCGTTTAGTACACGCCACAGTGGACTGTCGATGCTTAGCGCGTCTTCAACCGCAATTGTGGAGGGGTATTTACAACCCACCGTGTCAACGTTTTGTCTTGTGTACTCCTTGA